TATGATGCTTTCCAATCAACGGCAGCTGTCTAAACGCGTTGTTGGTCATCGATGTGTTTCTTTCCTCATCGTCATTGCTAGATACTGTTTATAAATATCTCTCACTTTTCTTATTCCAGGTATTTTCTTGGAGTCGCCTCTGCTCACCATCGGGTGTGCGTGTAGTGATACTGGGACAGGATCCTTATCACGGACCGAATCAAGCTCATGGTTTAGCGTTTTCCGTCCAGCGACCAGTTCCACCACCCCCTAGCTTGGTGAATATGTTCAAAGAGATCAGATCTAGCATACCGGACTTGGATTGTTCCAAATGGCCTCCCAGTCACGGTGATCTGACGGGTTGGGCGCGTCAAGGTGTTCTATTGTTGAACGCCGTCCTAACTGTGCGTGCCGCAATGGCCAATTCGCATAAAGACAAGGGCTGGGAACTCCTGACTGACGCTGTGGTTCGGTACCTCAGTCAACAGAAATCGGTAATTTTCACATATATCGCACTAATGTCCTCTGATTTATTTCAAATCGGTTCCTCCAATAGTGATGTTTCTTTTTAACACTGTGCGATGTTAGTTATGACATATTCATTTCAGTCTTGTCGGTAAATACATCTGATACAAGGCAGAGGGTGAAGCGTGAGGTCGGTGTTCAAAAACCTTTGTCTACACCGCATTGCAAGAATCTGGTGGGAAAACCGGACAATCAATGCTGACGGCAGATGCAGAGTTCTAGGTACTCGCGTTCGTCCACTAGAGCAAGTAGTCAACCTCCATAGACTACGCTGGTCGGGACATGTGCTATGCAGTTCACTAAATAGGTTGCTACGGTGAGCGATGTTTGCTGGGGCAGATAGTGGATGGAAAATGTCAAGGGTGGTCAAACTAAGACCTGGCATGAGGGTATGAAAATCCTAACCACGAGTCTGGGTCACATAGGTCCCGTTAGGCTCCCTGAATGGGGACCTCGGGATGGTGGNNTGGCTGGGTGTCGTTAACAGTGGAGTTAATGCATCTCAATTTTTCTGAATCATTAGTCCCCTGAATTTCTCAATTTTCTCTTCGATTCTACTTTCACCATCTTGTTTTCCTCCTGTTGTTCATCCAGGTGCGCAGCCAAAAGATAGCAACCAAAA